TCAATAAAATACACATTGCTTCATCGCGGCAAACCCGTGACTCGTTTGGTGTGACAATGACTGCAGGGAAACCAAGCAGGTGACCAAGGCGTTTGATTCCGGCCGCGTCAAAACGAAAGTCCAAGAGGGCGTTCGCGTCAGGGTAGCTGCCCAGCACAAAGCGAACGTCGGGGATGAGTGGTGGTTCAATGTACTGAAAAATGTACATTTGCATGATCATGTTGCGTGTTGTTTTTGTCTTCACAAGTGGGAGCAACATAATGATGTCGTTGACGGAGAGGACCATGACGAAGGAGCGCGTTTAGAGAGTGTGCGTGACAGTTTTGAAGTCGCAACTATATTGGGAGCTGGAAAGGAATACCCGAAACATCAAAATCTGCGTTCCTCTCGTTTCCTGTTCAGCTCGTCGGAACCGGAATTGGAAGCGGAATAGATTCTACCGAAACCGCTCTATTGTTTTTAAAGCGTTCTTTGTTGATACGAATAGCCTGTCATTTTTATGTAGTAGTCTAGTTATCTATTATATTTGCTCCCTTGTGGCGTGTTAATTTCAGTCCTTCAACAAATTCGTTATGGCTGGTGTATTTCGCACCTGTCATTGTTATTCGGAAATCCGGATATATGGAACCAACGTGCAATTCCGGAATGACTGGCACCGTTCCTGGCGACGTGCGGCCATGCACTAACTCGTCTGGTGCGACGGAAGGGCGCTTGGAAAACATAGAGTCCATACTGGCGGCACTTCCGGGAAGTCTGACTACTGCCATACAGGATATGATGGCGTCGTTCAACGCAGCCGTTCTTCGTCGGATGGACTCCCTTGAGCATGCAGTGACCAAACTCCCCAATGAAGTCAGTGGAAAAGTCGATACATCGAACGCAGCAGTCCTCCGTCGCTTGGAATTGGTCGAAAAGTCCGTGGTCCACCTCCACCAACAAACCAGAGCTAGCCCACCGACGAACCCTCCGACTGCAAAGGGTCCAAAGGTCGGTCCAGGGGCAATGCGCATCTCTGCCCGAGCGAAGGCTCACGTCAAATCGACCACTAAGTCGTCATCAGCGTCGAATAAAAAAACTGTGAAGAGCGCTCGAACGAACAAAGCCTCAGAAAATCTTCCGACGACAGAAGACGCCACATCAATGAACGTCGTTGCGCCGCCTTTGGGGGGTTCTCCCCAAACGTCCCCCCGACGGCCCGTGTCAGTCCGTTCTCCCGCGGATAGCTTCCTTCGAGCGCCGATGGTGGCGAAATCCAGCATTGCCAAGCGAAGTCACGTGGATGCCGCCCTGGAGATCCACACGGATGCTCGTCCCCAGAAGAAAATATCCAAGTTCACTGCTGCGTTGGTGGAACCTCCTCCGCATGAAGTTGACAGAGTCGTCATGCCAGACGTGAACCAAGGAGCGTCAAACGGTGGCACCGTCGCGCTAGTTCCTCAGCCACAGCTGCCCCCTCGTTTCGGCTCAGCCCCACTGAGCCACTCGGCAGCTACAGTAGCCAAACCACTGCGAAAGCTAAGCACCGCACCGAAATGCGGCGCGTCGACTGGACCACAGAGCAAGGAGAAGCACATGGCCGACGAGCACGAATCAGTCGCTCCAAACGACATGTCACCAGCACCACCACGACAAGCCGCTTCGTCCACTACCACGACCGTGCCAAATCCAGCCAAGGAGACAGCAAATGCCGCGCCAACGCAAGGCCACCCCGTCGACGACCCAAGCACGCCGTCACAAGATCGCCCTGTGTCCAACTGGCAGCACACCCTGCAAGAAAGCTTCAGCCACCTCGAGCAAGGCGATGCACCCATGGCCAATAGTGCACATTCAACGAGCTCGACAACCCCACCTTTGCCTGACGTTCCACTGGCACCCGTCAAGCGAAAACCTGGGCGGCCGCGAAAACTCCCGCAATCTGGCCACATGTTGCCGCCAAAAAATTCGTCCATCCGAAAAATCCCCCCGACGAAGGTGCTACCCAAGCGGCCCCGTGGACGCCCCCGAAAGGAGCTGGTGCGGTCCCCCGAGATTGTGATCCTCACGGACGACGATAGCGACGGCAAATTTCCGGATGGGTCGATTCAAACTTAATGGATTGAATACGTGGTTGTGATGAAAAGGGCGGCTTCTCCCGCTGGTGCTTCACGCGGCGATCGTGGGCGGCTCCAAGGGGCCACAAATTGCCTCTCCACAAAAGTCCAAGCAGATTCGCATCAAAGCCATGCAACCTGCCTTCACAGGCAGTGGACGTTCGTGCGGAGGGGGGGGTGGGCAAGGCGAGAGTTTGTGATGCCATGGTACACTTCAATGTACAATTGTTCAGATGCCAACGAGGGCTTCGCCCCGGTAGGTCGCGGGAATGGCAGGAAACTCGCCAGTCCTCGCAGCGACTCAGCCATCGCGTACACAGACAAGGCGGTCGTCGGTAGCATCTTGACAACGTCATCCGAGGAAGTCGCAATACGTAGCGTCACGGACAAGACGTCCCCCCTCACGACTTTGGCAGAGTCCACGTGAACAGGTCGCATCGGACACATCATTCGTGGTCAAGTAACAAAGCGTACAGGTGCACGAGGTCGCCGTGGAACGAGAGCTGCCACATCGACGTGGCAGCCAAGGCTCTGGTGCCCGGTGGGTGTCGAGCCATCGCCCCAGCCGAAGAGGTCATTTGGAACAAGGCGGTTCCTTGGGGAAGTCGAAAGTAGAGCGCTGTGCGAGAGGGAATCGGCACTCGCTTCAACGAGGTTGGAGTCGACGATGATGAACCGGGGAGCAGGAAAGAGTTGAGCAGACACCGAATCAGGGCGACGTTGTCGGAAGCGTCCGTCGCGGGGAAGTTGGGACGGGTGTTTTCAACAATGTCGGGGTCGTGGACCTGGTATATCTTCCATTCCGCCGCGCACTCGAGCACTTTGACGTGGACGTTGGGGGCGATGTTGCTGTTGGCGCAATCCGAACGGAGGCTGGCATGGTTGGTGATGGGCACACAGCTGGCTGGGGCGACCAAACTTCGCCTGCCATGAATGCGTGGATACCGCCATTGTCATGAGTAACGGGTGACAGCGGAAGACAAGACGACGGAGGAGTGCTCTTGCGTGCCTTCGAGCTGTGCATTGGATCGGCGACAAGTTCTAGCGGGCGTGATGGCAGGCTGCCGTCGGAATCGGCATCGACGATGGCGGGGGGCTGCTCGCATTGCAGCAGTTTTGTGATATTGATCTCTCAGCATCGGCACTTGATCTTCCAGGCCACCCAGTCGAACGTTGATCGCTTCCAGAATGCCGCGCACATCCAAGTGGATCACGTCTTGTACCTTCCCATCGTCCATCCGCTGGACTGGTTCGTTGCAGTCCCAACTGCCACATCAAGCATGAAATGCTGTCAAGGGTCGGGGCACAGTGCGGATTAAAAGCTCCCTCGCTACTCACCAGTCGCTCGTCCTACCGATGGACTTCTCTCGTACGTGTGATGCTCTATCGTGAATCCGGTCGGGGTTATGTCAACGAGTATGTGCTTCAGGTGATGTGGCAGCTCCATCCTCCAGCGTCGCGAGCGCAAGCATGGCTCTCCATCGTTTCGATTGTTATCGACTGCATTCAGGTGCTACGTGTCCACGTGTGTCGTCGTCGTCATGTTCGCTCAGCAAGCCCACGACCGTGCTGTACATGTAATACGCGACTTGTTCAGGTCGAATCTTTTCAAAACCGGGGCGGGTCAGGGTGCCCTGGGGCGATTTGCCGAGGAGAGTTCCGAACGCTCGATCGAACAGGGCCAAGAGATCGACCGGTGGCAGCGCGGCAATCGCGTCGACCGACTCTGTCCACGCATGCGCGACGATGATCCTTTCAAGCGCATGAATGAGTCTCTGCCCCCTCCGAAGCATGCGTTTGCTTTGGTCATCGATGGATATGTCGCTGACTTTGAAGTTCCGGAGTGGGCCGACGCGGTTGGCGGCGTCTCCGTGATACCAGTGCATCCACAGAGTCTTACAAAGCGTGGGACGGCACCGCCAGTGTGGCGGCGGTGGCTGCCATCGAGCAGATTTCGTCAAAGGTGGCGAGATATCCCGACCGTGGCTCCGTGCTTCACCGTCGTGGTCACAGTCGTTGGGCGCGATGAGTGCGGTGGGTTCGTGTGCACAGGATGCTCTGGTTTCAAACTTGCGTTTTTTTCGTTGAGAGGACGAAGAGCATGGAGATGCGAACGAGATCGGTTCTTTGCATTGGTCGCTTGGCGTGGCATCGTTGGACAAGATGTGTTGCAAGGACAAACTATGGAAATGGGGCCTTGATTCCTCGGTTTTGGAATCGGTTTCTGAGGCGGAGATGAGTTGGCGATGCTGAACACCGTTGGTTGACGGCAGCGGGGTGTTGTGCAGGTTGTCGGAGTTGGTGGGAGAAGGAAAATCGTCCACTACGGATGCACTGGGAGACGGGATGCACGCCGTCTCCACGTGTATGGGGCTGCAGCCACATCTGATGGTCGCATCATTGCACCAAGCAGTTCGAGCGTGGTGTTGCACCGGTGTTGATGGCACTGGTTTGTCAACATCAAGCTTGGATGCGTGCAACAACGCTTGCGTGAACTCGGCGACGGTCATTGTGATGGTCGTTTCGGCTGGAGTACCGACACGGGCCTTGGCTTCATGGAGCCGGTGGTAAATGCGATCAGGAAGGCATTCGATGGCCTTGAAGACCATGTCCAGCCGCCGGTCCAGCATCGCCAGGCGCTCGTCCACAGACGGGTCAATCGCCATGTCGACGAGATTGAGCTTGTGAGTGTGGCGAAGGATCATGGAACAATTGGGTACGGATCCGGAAAAACTTCAGCAATGCAGAAAAGCAACAATGTCTTCCGGATATTGGTTGACATATGAAAATTCATGAAATTATTGACCTTTGAACGACCAATATGGTTGCTGATGCAGTTCACGAGATGCGACCTCCGACCTTCCTTTGCCCCGCCAGCTCAAAGCCCTCTGCCGAGTCTAATACACGCTGGTCCGTTGCATGATATCCCGATCCAAGCAGCTGCGAAGGGTGGAAGCTTGTTGCGGAGGGTTGGCGACGACTCGATCGCCAACTCGATGACAATTGGCCGCACGCCAAGAACTCCTTTTCAATATTGATATCTTCCCAATAGGAAATGTGTTCGATTGGGGGTTGCTTTTCGAGCTACTATTCGGATAAAATGCAGCGAAATATGATAATTCAACACAACAAAAACCCTAAATCATCGCATGATTTGCAAATTCCGAGTTCGAAGTTACTAGTTGTTGGTAGTATTTCGACGATATATGCTGCTCGAATTAATGAACTGTATTCGATCGAAAAATGCCGTCGTTTCGACGAACGGACGAACTTCGCATGAGGGCAGTGGCCTGACGCCAAGGCATTCACAGTTCGGTCAGTGCGATCCGCGTACTCACATAGGAGGCATCTCGGTGCGCATGAGCTCTGCAGCGAGGGCGCTCTCATCGCACAACACTTTCGTCCACCCTAGAACGAACGATGTGCGTGAGTCGACTGGAACGTGCAGTCAACCAACAATGTACGTGATGGCTCGAAACAAGTATTGTAGCGACCAAATGGATCTAACAAATGATGTCGCGACGTCGAG